TTGTTTAGCATAAAAATCTCTTTTAATCTCCCAATTCTTCTTCTTTATTCAGTTTTTGTGGATGTTTTTTTTTTTTTTTTGATTTGAGGAGTCATTCATGAAAACAAATATGATATGAGTTTTTGTTTTTGTTGATGTTAATCGGTCTATTGTGATTTTTTTCCTTTTTTAGCGTTGAGCTTGGAAATTATTTTCTAGTATTTTTAATTCTTAAAGAAGAAACCAAACATAATGAGGTGTTATCCTCTAAACATTAGAAACCAATTTTTTTCTTAGATTTTTGATTTTTTAAAATATTTGATATATGTAAAAGACTTTTCCATTCCTATATTTAAAATATGAAATTCAATATAATACATATATTTTATTTTATATAATTTTATTAAAACCTCTATTTTCAGGATTTTTTTATAAATAAACCAAAATATGAACTGTCTAAAACAAATCTAAAAAGCTTGAACAAGTCAATGGAAAAATAACAAATCAATCAGACTCTTATATATCTAGAATGGTCATAATATTAGCTATTATTTTCATTTTATGCAATCGCATGTAGGAAAAAAGTGGTTTCAATGAGGTTCTTGACCAATATTACAAATGAGTATATCATGAACTAATATAAGCAAACTGCAAAAATATTCAACAATTATATCAATATAAATAACAACACAATTATTGCTTGGTGAATATAAATATTTTATGAGAATATATGTAGAAGATAAATTGATATGTATTATGGTAAAATAATTCTCTTAATACACCTCATGATTATAATCAATATTTTCACATATTTTTTATGATTTTGAACCATTCACAAAGTTTGATATAATAAAAAATTGATATATAAGACTTAATAATTATATATATATATATATATATAATATTAAAAGAACAACCAATAATGATAAGTTAGATTCATATATCAAAGGTAATGTTGATTCTTATTAGTTTAATATTTAAATGTGATCATCGACTCATTTAGCTAATTTAAATAAATTTTAAAAAAATTTATCGTCATCGCACAACGCGCGATGTCAAACACTAGTTTAAAATGAAAGCAATTACATTGTTAATGTTTGTTAGATTGATTCATAGATGGGGAAAATGAAGGATAAAAAGCTTGTATTGGCCAAGCAAAAGTAATAAAACTTTGTGTAAATATAGACATTGAGAAAATAAAATTTCTTGAAATCTTCAAGAACCAGAACCAAAGAGAGAAATCTTTTCCATGCTTTTCCCCTTTTTTATCTCCCTTATCGGTGTGTTAAACACAAGGACATGGATATTGAAAAACCAGAAAATTTCATATCAGCATGATCACAACAATATTAAGAGCTAAATAATCAAAATACATGTGACCATTTACTTGTTTTTATCTCAACCACTTCTTGAACGCAACAACTAAAACGCCATTGTAGATATCAAGAAAGGTTGACTTAGATTTGATGTTGTTGGCATCATCCAAATCAAATCCTCCAAAAGCTTCTTTCTATGGCGTTTTGATATGGGTTCTTAGAGAAATAGAGAACTTTCAATTTGAAACGATCTTCATTCCTTTACCCTTATTGGTTTTGCTTAAGATAGGAAACAAGAGGTTTCAATATAAATGATATGCTTAAATGAGATTGAAACCACCATTATGTTGATGATTCGCATAACCTTTTTGTTTACAGTGTAATACATATAAATTGATAGATACTTGTACGTGTTGCTATGAGGGTGGTACGCCTTAAAATTAAGTATTTAGCTTCAAGAACTTGTACATATATGCTTATTTAGTTGTAAATTATTCATGCTTTGTGATATATTATGGATAGATATATAAACATATGGTAATACAACTGTCCGTCTCTTTAGCACATATCACCGATCCACCGACCCACCGACCTTCAACAACTATATAGAAGCCCTTTGGCTTTTACTGGTCACCAAATTCTGAAACCTCTTCAAAAAATCGACCCACCGACCTTCAACAACTATATAGAAGCCCTTTGGCTTTTATTGGTCACCAAATTCTATAAACCTCTTAAAAAAGTCGAGGCGTAAGGGAAGAAGAACATAGTGAAGGTAATGAACATCTACATTTAAAGGATCGATCTTTTCTGCTAGTTGAAGATTATCAAGGTTTAGTTTTTATTTTCTCATAAAATCACTATAAAACATTGTTCAATCATTATGATGGTTCATATAGCTAGTTGCTTACTTATATCTATATGTATACATAGAGCACTCATCAATTTCATGCCATATAATCAATTTCTATATCTAACTTTGGAATGATACTGAATGATCTCCCTCCCCATTTATATTTGTATTTGTTCATCTATCTTGTAATCTTGTAAACACCCAAAGCATACCGCCACCTATATGAATATGTATTGTATGTGTGTGCATATATAGGATATTACATTGATTTCCATACAAAAATCGGTTACTTTTTGTCATTCATACTTAAGATCCATAAAATAGTCTTTTTACCTGTTGAGATAAAGGAAAAATCTTCAAATATCCCTACCTTTTAAACCATACTTTCGAGTGAGATATACTATATATATTTGGTTTGGTCTTTTAGACCCGAGACCCATAAAATGAGTTATATCCATTATTACATTAAACTATATCGACTTAATATGGTTCTAGCATACAAATGTATTGGTTGTTCACAATGTATATAATTGTATGTAAGCCAAATTCATCTTAAAATCAGAGCATGTAGTCCTTGTAGATGACACATAGATATAGTCTACTTTCTACCTCCATGTTTAGACTCACTTTATTTTGGGGGTATGGTTGTTCACCAATTTCACAAATATTATTTTTAAACAATTAACTATACAAGTTTTTAGAATTTACCATTTAACTCGTATACTTTTTGTTAACAATATGTTTGATCTGAACCAACTTTATTTCACAAATACACTTTGGCCATAAAGGATTTAACTACTAAATAAAAAACCATTTATTTTTAAAAAAAATGAGTCTGTTAAGTTCACTATGAGGATAATTAACTAATTTTTGTATAATTAGTTTATAAGTCTAATCCAAAATGAAATTGAATTCTCCCGTTCTCTATTCTTATATATCCATATATCCTCTAATCATATCAGTGACTCATGCATTTTGATCTTCTAACAATTGTCCTAGATTTTGATGCCTTAAGGTTATGAAAAAAGATATCTTTAATCAGAGACGATTTGGGCATTTTACATAAAAATTAAGATCAACATAATGATCGAGAGTGTATATGTCAAGCTCTAACACGAAGACAATATGGTCGACGGTGCTAGAAAATTGATGTGTTGTCCATGATAAGTTATGATGCTTTTGTTTTTTCGAGTCAACCAATTTACTTTAGGAACATCAAAATAAAAGATGTCTTTCTACTCATAACAATTTAAAAATAATTTAGATGGACCCGGGTTTATTTTATGTATAGTGCTTTTAGATATGCCCATATTTTATTATACGTTTACTACTTTTAGATGGGCGCACACTTTATTATATGTATACTGTTGATTCTGTTTGATGTTGGAGTTGGACAACCTTAGATATTTATCTATAAGGATATTTTTTTCAAGTTTTGGGGTTTCTATTCCTCTCGTTCCTATTAATTTTTCTAACCATATTTTTAATATATATATATATAATTATGAGAATAAAAACAAAGATTCAATATAAAAAAAATCAAATAACAAGTTGTTTTTCTTTTGCTTTATTACTTTAAGATATTTAGGTTGACTTTTTATTTCCACCCACCTCATGAATTGAGATGGGCAAAAATTGGTTATAACAAGTGTCACCTCCTAACCGATTATGCCATAAAGGATCCCTAAGCCAATATGTAACTGCTTTGGACCATTGCCCTTTAAGTAGGTATACTTGAACCGGTCTATTAACCAATCGACGAGGATAGGGATGCATAAAAACCCGACCCAAATTAACTCAACCCAACCTGAAGCGACTTGATACTTAAGCGAGTTGTAAAATCTTCAAACATAAGTATTTAGATGGAATTGGGTTAGTTTCATTGAACCCCAAACCCAACTTGATGAACCTGATGTTTTAGGTATGGCAATAGGACGGGGATGGGGCGGGTTTTGTAAACCCCCCCCCCCCCCCCCCGGGGCCCGGTTTGAAGTAACATCCCCCAACCCCGGTCCTCGGCGGGTACGGAGATTAACATCCCGTCCCCGGTCAATCACCGGTCAAAACCCATAAATAATATTCTTTAATTTGATTCTACCGGGGATCCCTAACCCCCACCCGACCCCGGTTTGAGTAACATCCCCCGACCCAGGTTTGAGTCTACTGGGGATCCCGGCCCGGGACCCATTTAGCGAGGAATCCCCGGCCCGTTTGGGTCGGGTGAACCGGGTTCCCCACCGGTTTGAGAAACATCCCTATGATGTCTTTCTATACCATGAATTTGATATAATCGTTAAGTCTTCGATTAATATTTACATTAAACATTACACCAACCCGTAATGAGCTCTATTCAAAATTATATCATAATTTCAACCTCAAATTTACTTTCTTGTTTGCATAAACTTTTAACTTTATTTTTTGAGTTTGTTAGCCTTTTTTTATATGTTCTCATTTTGATTTAAATTTGGCTATACACATTTGTTTAACTGGATTGTAAAATAATGTATCAAAGTTTCAACCCGACCCACATAACCAGTCCAATCCATACGTTTTTGAGGTGTGTTAAATTTTTTCAAATTATACATATTAGATTGGATTGCTGAAATGACTTCAACCCAACCAATCCCAACTTCGTCTAACCCAAAATTCCGTCAACCTTAACCGGTGGGCCCTAATGTAGGCATTGCATTTATTGCAATTTTTCCGAAATGAAATGCATAATAAAGTTTTGATGTCAAGAATTGTCATGAAAAGGGTATTTATAGAAGAAACAAAACTTTTGTGGCCAAAGCTTGAAAAGTAAAAAAAGAAGATTTAGAAATAAAAATTGGAAAGAAAAAGTACAGCTAAGACAATCGATGAAATTAAGACTTTGACTTCAGTCCGCAAAACTCAAATCAGAAAACCACCGGAAAATTTAACCTCAAAGCGGTTTCAATTCCGATTCTCCGCCGGTCTACGATGCGCCACATGACGCCCTTCTCCCTCAGGTCTTCAAAAATCTATTTCTGTTCTTCCATTGGAAACTATTGTGTTTAGATCTTTTTCTCTGATTCTATGTATCCATAAATTGTTAACAACGGTTTAGATATGATTCAATTAAGTGATTGTTATGTTTGTTAATTTTGCAATGCAATTATTGCATGGAAAGTTTACTAAGTTGCGTAACTTGATTAGACTCAATTCGATAATTCGAGTTTGTTTTTGGGTTTTGATTTGCTTTTGTTAAAGTTGTTATTTTGCTGTTAGTTAGGGTTCTTTTTGAGTTGTATGAATCTTAGTTGGTAGGTTTGAGGGTATAAGACATGCCAATGGTTGCTTATGTGTTTCAAGGTTAAGAGCTTAGGGTTTTGATCTCACTCTTTTTTCCAATTGTTTTTGTTTTTTTTATTATCTTCTCACTTAATTTCTTTGAGTCAAAGGGATAAACATGTAACTGCAAAAATCTGAGACAAGTTCTAATAATTCTCTAGACAAGGCTGATTCATTTACAATCTATCTCAGACCAATTTGTTTTGGTCGAAACTAACAATAGGAAGAGTAAACTGTAAAGAGAATCCTATTGAACATTATATAGAGGTGTATCTTTTGTGGATTTCATAGCATCCTTGTACACAATATCAAAGCTTTATTGACTCAGATTTTTCTAAAATACACACCCAACATACTCTTGGTTACCATCATTTTTGGTAATTTTCTCACTCTGTTGTCACACCTATTAACATTTCTGCTACATTATTCTTGTGGTGACCCAAGATCATGCCTCATATATCATAACAAGTCTCAGTTGTCTTATAGCACTATAAACTTACCTACGAGCTAGGATGAGACATTCAAAATCAAATATAAAACTCCAAAGCTAGTCCTCATTTCATCCACTCTTCTTATCCTATGATAAACATCTCATCATATGACAAACATCTCATCAATCTCTCCATCTGTTATTACTCCTGTTAAAAAAATCTTTACATGCTGACTAACTAAATCTTCACCTCATATATTTTCCTTCGGTAAGATTTAATCTAACCATTTTTAATCCAAGACTTTTTTCAGTTCCTCCAACTTTATATCAACATCCTTCCTGTTCTGAGTTCTCATCAATGTCTCACTATAGAATATAGATAAATAATTATTAGACCTTTTTAACAAGTACAAATAGATGACTGATGCTATTGAACTTCTACAAACTTGTATTAATTGTATATTTGACAATTTCTACCAATTCTACGTTTGGTCACAAAGATCAATATGTAGCTCCTATCAGTTCTTGGTATCTTTTGTTATTTTACTTTCTATTCCACTTGTTAATCCCATTCTTACATATCAATCAATCTGGTTTTCATTTAGTCTAGAATCTAGATTTAGTCTCAAAGTTTTGTTATTTTATTACATTCCTTTTCTAGGTGAACATGTTAGTTTGTTATTCATTTAGGTTTGTTGTAGAGTTTTGGTTGCTTTGAGATGGTGGGCTCTGAGAGAGAAAATGGTTCTTCACCAACACCACCGGCACAAAAGGCGGATGTGAAGAAGTATGGTGTAATGAACCCAATATCATATGCTGGACCAAGTGAGGTTGATGTTCAGAAGAATGCACTTTTGGAAAAGGTATACTGCAGTCTTGCGATGGCCCTTGCAAATTACAGTTATTTTTACGTTATAAGTTTTCTTCTAACTTTTCAGTGGGTATTTTATCTGTGTTGGCTGTAAGCTTTTGATGGACTCAGGGATTTATGAGAGTGCGGAAGAAACTGCAAGGAGAGAAGAGGTTCTTTCTCGTCTGGATAAGGTAATTCACTTGTTTCCTGTATTCTATTACAGACTTAAGATGTGGATCACTAAATCTCCTTTCAAAGTTTTCTTCATCAATTTGGATATATACCACAGGTAGGAATCTGTGTGACATTGAAGCAGATACAGTAACTGTTTATTTTGGAGGAATCAATTTGAAATGTTTGTTTTGACAATTACTTTAACAAGTGATGTCGCCCAAATTTGCTTCCAGGGGCTTGATATGACTGTTCGCAAGCACTTCACAACATTTCGTGTAACCTTAATGAATTAATAGTTTCCCACAACCCCTACATGTTACTTGCACTTGACACTCTCTGGTACTAATTTTGACTGCGTGATAAGGCTAAGGATGTGTAGAAGTGATATATTTAGGTGTCAAAGAGGTGTAGTGTTAACAATAGTTTCCTACTATTTTGAATACTTTATAATAGAGGTTGGTTATAACTGTCCTAAATTTTAGATTATTAAGTTCAAGACATTTGCAGATCATCAGGGGACCTTGTCTGGTTGCAGCTTGAGTTTACCTTGAACTGTGGAATCAAATTGGATCACACGTTACCGCTGACATTTGATAAACAGCCCAATCATCTTAGATGTCATCTTCTCAAAACTCCTGAACTTTTAATAGTGGATGAACAAAAGTAGAATATCTTGGCTACTTGCAATTTCATGCATGCTTGATGATGCTTTACGTGTAGGACCCATTTACTATTCATACTAGGACAAAGGAAAAAAAAAATTACGATGTATTTATTTAGTGAAGGTACAAGAGTGTTTAGCATCCATATTATAGTATTTGATCAGCAAACAAACAGCTTCACAAGGTTGCCAACATGTAAATTAATAGGGATGGATCCTCTTTCCTTAACCAGGCATCCAATGTTTTGGATTGTAGACTTGCCAAATAGTATGTACAGTAAGGTGGTTGAAAATCTGAAGTAGCCAGTTGATATGGCTTCTGCCTACATGATTGGCTGCAGCCTGCTGCATGTGCTTCTTTGGTTGTTGCAAGGTTAAAGTCATTAAAGAATTATTATTTAGTCCAGCTTATGCTTGGCTTGCTTGGGTTTGCATTTTGCACAATTTCATGTGAAACAAGTTTGGGGAAGTTAAAAGAGTCTTCAGACATGCCTGATCAAGTTAGATAAAACTCCAAATAGCTGTGGTTTTACTGGGGGTAGTTGAACTAGGGCAAGTGCAAGGCTGACACTGCCACAATCTTTGAAACTGTATTGGTGTTACAGGAAAGGTTTTCTGTTCCTGGAGTTGAATATATTCTTGTAACTGCTTAGTCGAGTGGTTTTAGAGTTCCGTAAAAGGTAGAGCAAAGAGGTTTGCGAATTGTATTAGGGTGAAATGACGAACTGTAGGGAAATTTTATTTGTTTTTCAATTATTCTGATTGCAAAAGATCTACCATTTTTCTTCAATAGTAGTACTGGCATGCATCCTTACTCGTTAGCAGAAGAATAAATCATATGACTTTTGTTATTGTATGTCAGGATAGGGGAAATTAATGGTGTTAATGAGATTATTTGCTTTGAAGACCTAAGGAAATTATTGTTTAAAAAGGATAGACTTAGAAAAACTGGATGAAGTTGGCAATATTCTGTTTTATGAAGGAACAGGAGCTAATATTATTGATTACTCCCTCCATCCCACCTCCAAAAGAAAGAAAGCACACACTCAATCAAACACCCGTTCAAAGTGAACACAAAAGCAAAACAAAACAAAAGAGTGGAAAAATAAGGCACAAAGATAAATAAAGAAAAGAAAAATCCCAGCTTCTGATTTTAATACCCTCAAAGCTACAATAAGCCTTTACAGTTTGCCTAGGAAGAAATCTTATATTCCTATTACTTACCTGGACAAACAATGTATCATTGTAGATTTAGAATCTGCACAAACGAAGCCAGGTGATTCAGTTTAGAATGTTTGCAGATCCACTCTCTTGGCACATGTAAGACGGAAAATAAAATAGTACTGGTTGGACTAATATCCTTAGGGGCACTGTTCTAAAATTGAAATGGTTGATCAGGTTTGGAAAAATCTGGTTTTTATTTAGCCCGTATTTCTCTTTGATATCATACATGCCTTTTGTATCACTGCTGTGGCCTTCAGTTCCCTAAAATCACATGAACACAACTATAGCAGTTTGCCAAAGTTAGAATCATATGCCCCATTTCTGTTCATGGATTGTTGATATGTTCCTCACAGTATCAACAGCTCCTCTGTTATATTTTCTTTGACATGCTTCATGTTTCATCTGATGGTCCAAAGATTCAAATGTATTGCTTTTAATCTACTAACCATATTCATTCTTTCGTTGCAACTCTTTTCTACTTTTCTCCCCTTCCTTATGAGGCATTTATTCTCAAGCTAATTATATCGTTGTAGATTATCAAAGATTGGGTGAAGCAGTTAACCCGCCAAAAAGGCTACACAGAAAAAATGGTCGAGGAGGCAAATGGTATTTTGCGTACCTTTGGGTCTTATCGCCTAGGGGTAAGAGCCTCTACTTTTTATTCTCTTGGGAGCTTTTGGTTTATAAACTGGTCTTGTTTGTCATTATACATTGTGAATATCAATAATTTGAGCATGGAAACTGATTTGGATAGATCACCGCATTGAGTTTAATGCTGTTTTGGCATAACTTGAAAGGGGAATTTGGTTTGCAATTTTAAGAAGGGAATAACTCCATGGTCATGGCTAAGTAAATAGCACCAAAAGATGGGGACACGATTATTGGAGGTTTATATTGGTTGTTATTTTCTAGTCATTGGCTAATTATTTTTATTACTTGATCTTATCATAGTGTGTATATATTTGAAAACAGTTGAAGGGATCTTATAGAATCCAGAATCTTACCCTACGCACACTCATGCACGTGCACCCCCCATCCCCATAGCTATCCACCCACAAATGCTTACCCATGTAACCCCCTCTCAAAAGTTTGCATCACCTTGAGGTATTTAAATGTTACTTCACTTGAGGATCATAATTATAAAATTATTGATAGACACTGAGACATTTTGGTTACAGGTACATGGACCAAATGCTGATATCGACACATTATGCATTGGGCCATCATATGTGACTCGAGAGGTGAGTAATGGATTTAGCTGAACATTTTTTTCTTTTATGGTGCATCTGGTCTTTATGCTTAAATCAACTTTACCGTTTCTTTCCTCAGCATGATTTTTTCGTTATACTGCATAATATTCTGTTGGAGATGGAAGAAGTATCAGACCTTCAGCCAGTTGATGATGCACATGTTCCTGTGATGAAGTTCAAGTTTCAAGGAATATCTATTGATCTTCTTTATGCGAGCATATCTTTATTGATTGTTCCAGAAGTAAGTACCAAGATCGTTTTTAGGATCTTGTGTTTTTTCCTTGTTAATTTACTTACTTTCTCCTGGTCTTTCCAGTCCTGTGTGGCAACTGATATTTATTTACACACAGCTTTAAGACCAGCTTAGCTGTGTGAATGCTGATCTATAAAGATGACATGCTTAGAAAAGAGTGTATAAGCTGAAAAGTTTGAGATGAATTTGAGGTACAAAGAGGAGAAAGATAAAAAAGTTCAAACGGGATATGTGCAATAGTGGAGTAGGAGATCAAAATAGAGGGGGTTATTCCTTTAGATGATTTGGGTATGTGCAATGTAGACCCTTTAGTAAGCCAGTTATATGTAGCGAAGCTAGAAAAATTAGCAGCAATTATTAGAAAAAATTAATCCTAAATTGCTAATGCGAACAAAGGTGATGCGAAGGATATCGTCACACTTGTATGAGTGGCAATTTCATGGGTAGCATGATGTTTTTTTAAATTTGCATGAGTAAAGACAAAGCATTTTCTAAGACGTAGCTTATCAGAGTAATTAAGCACTAAAGGCCAAACCATATGGACATTTACTAGCAACAGGTCTAATAGCTAATCTTCTACTTATATGAAGCTTTCTTGATTGGCACATTCTGTTCCATTCATTCTTTTTTGAACTCTCTACTTTGCAATTGCATAAATAAAGAAATTCTGAGGGTTGCACCCCTTTTTTTTGCTTCTGTGCTAAAGTTCCTGCTTCCATCTTCCTTCTTTTCATGTTTGAATTGAAGAAGTAAACAGCTGCTAGCTTTTAGTCTAGTACTGCTGTCAACAAAGAATTTCAAAGCCAATAACCTTTCCTATAGCTGCTATGAAATTTAACTTTTTATCAACTCCATTTCTTGGTTTTTCGGGTCTCTTCTAACCCTAAAGTATTTCAATCTGTAGTGTTATGAGACACCGAACAATTTTTATAATGTTGTTGGTACTTCTATATAATAGATTTTACATTCCAGTGACATGCTACCGTAGGGAACTTTTGATCTAACCTTTCTGCTTATCTAACTAATATAGTTGGATGAGGTCTTTCTTCTTTGGTATGTATTTTGTAATATAATATTTGCTGCATTTCTATGTTGCCTCCATCTTGTGTTATTTTCTCTTTGGATATGCTCACATGTGACTCCGCTTAGTTACTTCTAGATGTTATTTCATAAATTAGTATGCTTGGAACCACCACGTAAATCGACAACATCATCGTCATGTGACCCTTCAAGTCTTCCCTTGTAGCTGAAGCAGCGCTACTGGCTTCAAGGTGAGGTTGAAAAATGTCTGACCATTTGTAGGATCTGTCATGCCGAAGCCTCATGGGCTCCGTTATCCTATTTCCTAATATTTGTTTTCCCCAATTGAAGTTTGGTTAGTGGTATGGTGGTCTCAACCTTTCAATCATCTAGTAGGATGCGCTAGTTGATATTGTGGACCTTATGGGCATCTTGCAACTGCTTCTAAAAGAGAGGTTGCAGGATTCTTTTGCATGTGTCATGAGCTTCCTACAGCCAAGTGTTCCTTTGCCTATTTTCTCATAACTTTCTCTTCTCTTGCTATCAAAACTAAATATCAACTGTATGCGAGTCTTGGCTGCCATTACGGGTTTGACCTTACACATTCTGATTATTGATTTAAGATCTCATCTAGCTTTGCTTGTATGAGTATCAAAAATTGTCGTGAAGGTCTTACAACTTCTGTGGGATTCAACCAATGATAAGTGTTTTATATTTTCTAGTCAAATTACATAGGATTAGGATTAGTCACTTTCATTCTTACTGTTCTTCACAATAGTCATTGCTTTGCATTTGTCACCTAATCGTCACTAAATAGTTAGTGGTATAAGGTATGCTTCTATCATTGTTTGTGTTTGAGTTTGGTTTTTTTTTCTTGTGAAACTAACTTGTGACAGGATTTGGACATCTCTCATAATTCTGTGTTGTACAACACTGATGAGAAAACGGTGCGAAGTCTTAACGGATGTCGGGTTGCTGATCAAATTCTAAAACTTATTCCAAATGTAGAGGCATGTATTGTGGTCCATATTTATATCTGTCTGTGCATTACTGATTTTTGACATCTATTCAACTGCCTTAAATATTGTAGAACTTCTGCACAACACTTAGATGTTTAAAGTTTTGGGCGAAGAGGCGTGGCGTTTATTCAAATGTAAGATTTTGATTCTGTTGTGTTCATCTTGTTCATTTTACATGAGAATTATATATCAAAACAAACAAAGCCAGTATATCCACCCGGAGGTGGGGTTTGGGGGGAGGTGGGATGTATGCAAACCTGACCTCTACCTTGAGGAGTAGAGCGGTTGTTTCTATGAAGACCCCCGATTTGGGTAAAGTGTGCGAAAAGATAATGCATACTTTTTTTTGAAAGAACGTAAGAACTGGAAATCACATGAGAATTATATATTGATACTCTTTTACTTCTCACCTGTTGATTAGGTTACCGGTTTTCTTGGTGGTGTAAATTGGGCTCTTCTAGTTGCTCAGGTATGCCAGCTTTATCCCAATGCAATACCTAGTATGCTGGTTTCCCGTTTTTTCAGAGTCTATACGCATTGGCGTTGGCCAAACCCAGTCATGCTTTGCCCAATCGAAGAGGATGAGCTTGGATTTAATGTATGGGACCCACGGAAATGGTCCCGTGACCGAACACATCTTATGCCAATTATCACTCCGGCATACCCTTGTATGAACTCTAGTTACAATGTTTCTGCAAGTACCCTTCGTGTTATGGTGGAACAATTTCATTTCGGGAATAAGGTTTGCGAGGTAAGAGTGAAACCTGTGATTGTTGTTCTTTTGTTAATACTTGATTTACCGAACTTTTTCATTTGTTCTACTATTGATGCTGTGTTCTTGTTTTTGAATGTAATTTAGGAGATCGAGTTGAACAAAGCAAATTGGAGTGCTCTGTTTGAACCTTCTCTTTTTTTCGAGTCGTATAAAAACTACTTGCAGGTAGACATTATAGCTGCAGATGCTGATGATCTGCTTTCATGGAGAGGATGGGTGGAATCCCGCCTTAGGTTACTAACTTTAAAGGTCAAGTTTCTCTCCAAAACAATTCAACTCCAATTCGTCCACATTATTAATCTAATATATCCAGTTATTCATCTTTACATTTCTATTCACCTACTTTTTGGGAAAATCATTTTGTATGCCGATAGATTGCAATATGTGTCATCTTTCAGTCAATTGACATTACATTCCAGCTATTCTGGAATAAGAACAACAATTTCTGTTTTGATGTGCTATATTAAGTGCCAGGTATATGTATTGGGGAATTTTAAACCTAAATTACCTGCAAGTAGATCATAGATTTGTGCATGCTTGCCTTCCACAAGCCATGGGTTTCCATGGAAACATCTATTGTACTCTTTGGATTGGAGGTCAGGTCTACATGCATCTTATCCCCCAGACCCCACCTCTGGGTGGGACATACTGGGTCCATTGGGTTTAGCGGTAGTCACCTTTTTTGATATGCATGCAGAGTGTAATGCTTATTACAGGATAAGTTGCGAATATGTGACTAATCTCTGTTTTCTTTGTTTGTGGTTTTCAGATTGAACGCGATACAGATGGGATGTTACAGTGCCACCCTTTCCCAAATGAGTATGTTGATACATCTAAGCCATGTTCCCATTGTGCGTTTTTTATGGGCCTTCAGAGGCAGCCTGGAGTGAAAGTTCAAGAAGGCCAACAGTTTGATATCCGAGCAACAGTGGATGAGTTTAAGCAAGGGGTAAACAGTTACAATCATTGGAGACCGGGGATGGACATCTTCGTATCTCATGTCCGCAGGAGGCAACTTCCTGCGTATATTTTCCCAGAAGGGTATAAACGTCAAAGACAATTAAGGCACACTCCCCAGCACTCTACAAGAACCTCAAATGGAGATGCTGAAAGATCCAGCTCTCCATCCTCCGATAGGCGTTTCAAGAGGAAGCATGATGCTTCTATTGCAGATATTGGGTGTGGAAAACCAAAGAAATTGAGCCCAGAAAGCGCAGGAATTGCTCCATCGAGCCCAGTAATTCAAGGACTCGCTTGTGAGGTAAGTTTTCCAGCTTGACTATTTTTTTGTCACTTCCCCATCCTTGTTTACATGATAAGCTTTGTAGGACGATCTTGTGGGACCCTTAGTTGCACTTGCTTTTGGCAGCCTTCATATTACATGTTTTTTTATTATGTCAACCTTAGTTGCACTTGCTTTTACTGTATGCTAGACATAGTGCTCCTCCTGCTATAATAGTTTGTTTCATCGTGTTGCATCTGTTTCTTGTGTGCAAATACTTGTGCACTTGTTTCCTGGTGTTTTCTTTTGTTTTTGAAAGCTGGAGGTCTACTCCGGAACAACCTGTCTAATTGGGGTAGAGGTAGAGTCTGTTTACATCCTACCATTGCTAAATCCTACCTCTGTGTGGGATGGGTTCGTTTCGTTTGGTTTGGTTTGGTTTGGTTTATAGGAAGATTTTGTGAGAAGATGTTTATGGTTGACAGCAGTCTTAGGTTCACTTTTATTTATCCTTCTTACTTTCTTCACCATTTTTGGTATACTGTGTGGCAGTAATTTAAGGAATTTAAGAAATAGCAGAACTTATTGTCACAATACCAGTACATGTAGTCTATGAACATGGTTAATGTGTGACTTCATTGCCGGTCTCGAAAGAAACTCCCAAAGGGGTCTTCTTTAGAACTCAGAAGAAGTGTTAATAGTCGTTTATGTTATCTCCTATCTGTAGGTTGATCTCAAATGTTGCCTCACTTTGGGAGTTTCTTTTGAGACCGGCAATAATCCTTATTATCACAATACCAGAACATGTAGTCTATGAATATGGTTAGACCTCTTAATCCGACCCGGTGCTATGTATATTACTTGCTCTGTGTTTTCCTTTTGTTTTGGATGATGACTTATGATGGGTTTTTCTTGTTATATTGTCTAGTCTCCAATTGAACAAAATGTGGTAATGGAGTCGGAGGATGGAGCAAATAGTGAATCAATGCAGCCACCCACGATAAGGCATGTTTCGTTTGGAACCCAACCCACTAATGTCATTATCTAATAATGCCATCCATCTTCATTTCATCTCTTGTTTTTGTATCGTTGCAGGTTGAGCCTGGAATCAACGGCTTAAATTATCGACAGCTTCAAATCCAGGTGTTTGTTGTTGTACATAAGAGTACAATGGCATTAGTACCGAGAAACCAATGGAACTTTTTAGCTAGACTTTGTACAAGAATGACATCACCTTTCGACTTTTCTGTTATGTTTATGTTTATGCTTATGCTTATGGTTCATGTTTATCGTATATCTTATGATATTGAAACCGAACTGGTTCTGGTCATGTTTCGGGTAAATCGAATTTTGGTTCGGTTTGGTTTGGTTCTCGAGTTAATGGATTTTTCAGAAATTGGCCTTCGGTTCAAAATCAGAACCATTTCAATTTTTTTAGTTTTCAAAACTTTGAAATAATGTTGATTTAGGTTTCTATACTATATACTATTCGAATAGAAACAAATACATGCATGTATTTGTTTAATGGTCTGGTTTAGTTTTTGGTTCTATTATTTTTTATTTATTTGCACCAACCCTATATACGTGGTTTTTGACATTTATATAAAATAATTTATCGTAATATAATATTTATATAAAATAATTTATGGTAATATAATATTTATGTAAAATAATTTATCGTAATATAATATAAAAAAAACATTCTACACAGTCTAATATATAAAATATTGAGGAATTATATTCACTTTCAATGATTTATGTTTAGGGTTTTTGTTAACTATCAAAGTTCAAATTTAAGTTGAAATATGTTATTCCAGACTTGGGAGTTTTAATGTATGAATTTAAAGCTACACAACGATAATACTAAAAATCAAATTATTTTTAATTTTTAGATTATGTTTACATCTTTATAATTAGTTATTTAATTTATTTTATATATCTTATTTTTTTATTTATTATCATATTAAAATAAATAATCATAGAATATATTAAAAGATAATATATTTTTTTATAAATTGTATCAATAATCGTCTCATCAATACATTCAAATGAATCAAATATCGAATATTTTTTGATTTAAATATCATAAAAAAGTAGTGAATTATTTTCAAGCTTACATTCTATACCTTATAGTTATTTAATTTGTTTTTTTACACTTACTTTTTCAGTTTCCATTTTACACCTTTATTTGTGTATAGTCCTTTATAAAACGACACGTTTGGTTATCTTGAATTATTTAAAAGGTACTACCCATATGCAAGTCCTAACTACTCTCCCCTCACTAGAATTTTCAAAAAGTTATCAATTCTTATGTTTATTGTACAAGTCTTAAAACTCAAAATAGAACACCCACTTCCGGTGCAACCAGCATCATCCACCTTCCTTCAAATCTGTCCCAATGTCTCTCCTACCCTATTTGATCGTTTTCTCTCACCCGCAATTCTTATAAGAATGCCCACCCCTACAATGACGAGTTAACGACTTCAATGAAGTCAATAGTCAAAAACGAATTTTGTTGACTAGGTTAAAAGAAACCTTTCCTCTTACTAATTTCCTCATTCAGAAATTTTAATCCCCAATCCCATTCGATGATGAGAAGCGTTGTTAGCTGTTCCTTCTTGCCCATCTTCGACGCCGACAAGGAGACCATCGTCGACAACGGCCACCTCCTACACAATCCTGGTCCCACACTTACTGCTTCGATTTTATGTTTGTTCTTAGATTGCTTTTATTTCATTCTTTCTTAGTTAGGTAGTTGCTTAGATTAGTTTTTAGATTTCAGACGTGGGTTTTTATATTTTGTTAGATTAATTTGCAGATTTGGAGACATGGAGAGTTGGAGTTCCAAAATTTTTAATTTTATATCAAAGGTTTCCACTTAGTGCTTGATCTGTGTGTATGCACTGCACATGTGAATTTAACATTACTATTTGGTGGACTTTCTATCAGAAGTTTTACAAAGAGTTTGACGATGTTAAACATCTATAATAGTTTTCTCAAACCCACCATTATCATATTTTCTCAAAGATTTATATATATATATATATATATATATTTATATTTACATAATTTACACACTTAATAAATTATATAAACTTATAAACCAGTTTTCATTTGTTGTTTCACATATAAACATGTGAAAATGCAATGTTTATACAATGTTGTTTCATATATGAAACGTCCATATCTGTTTTTTATGTGGAAAAGAATAGTCTTGAAGTTTCACATGTAAACAACAAAGTATACTACATTTTCACACATTCAACACATTAAAACTAGTTTATATGATTTATTGGGTTTATAAAAAAAGGGACCATGTATATGTACCATAGACATCGACTCACATTTTTTTATGTATCAAACCGTAGGTATTTTCAATGGTTTATAATATAATAATAAACACCAAAGTAATCAAAGATACCGAAAACCAAAATATGTTGCTAAGAACAATTTTGATGAATCCATTCCTAGACATAAAAGAAATACTCTAAATAAAGAGAAAAAAGTTTATGATTTCCTTGTTCCGAAAAACATTTTATCATCTGGACACTAAATGTTATAAAGAATTAAGAATTCTAATTTCTTTCAATCTGAATTTAAAGACAAGGAATGACATCGATAAAAATAATATCTTTGTTTTTGTATTATCAAATTACTATACATGCTTATGGTGTTTGAGACATCTCATACTGTAAATAGAGGATAAGAATGGTCCTCGATAATATATATAGTTTCAATAAATATGTTTTTTTAAATATATAATATTTATATATGATAAATAAAATAAATAAACTCACACACCCTCTTTACTCACATTTGGTGAGGTTTGAACTCTTGATCTCCTAGAAGGCCAAAGATTTACATACCGCTGGGCTAAAAGCCCTTTGGTATGAATATGCTTTCTTGTAAACCAAGTTACCTCGGATAAAAATTTCCTATCCTAAATAGTGATGTCCTATTTTTGTCTACCAGTTACATGAACGCACGTAAAATTGAACACACATAATGAAAGAGAGAACGTGTACATGAATTAGATAAATTTAAAATAAATAAAAAGTCTGATGTATTTTAATTTCATTGAAAAAACAAGAATGAGAAGTTTGATTTTGAGACAAGTGATTTTTATCTAGTTATTTGATGCTAACTTTGGCGAATGCATATATGATTTCAACAAACTGTTGAATATAGTCTTCAATGTGGGAATTTTATCCCACATAGGAAATGAAGTAAAAGATTGAGCATTTTATAAAATCATTTTCTATTTGTACTAACAAATATGCAATAATGGGTTTGACAATTTGGGCTTGAATATCTACTTTGATTCGGGCATGCATAATGTATGTTTAATTAATAAGCCAGATGATAGCATTAGCACTAGCACACACACGATTTCTAATTTTTTTTTTTTTGACTTTTGCCGCTACTTTTCATGTGGTTTTGGTCATGGGTAAACCCATACAACTTTCTGGAATTCTTGAACAATGCCTTACGGGACATTTGGCACGCCTTAGGCCGCGAGAATGCTCACACAACTCATTGAATGAAGGTTTTTTTTTATTATCTTTTTAACAGTTTCTTATGTTGGTTGTTGTTGTTGTTAGATTTGAATAAAATCAAATGACAATTTTTATGGAACTGTCAATCCAAGCTTATAAATACAAACCTATCGTTGATGCAATTGAAATCTATCTTTCTTCTCCTCTTTCATAGTATCATTTATCATGATTGATGTTCATGGAGATATTGGGGCTTGTTGTTTCCTATTCCAAAATCTAAGATTATGCAATCCTGGGGCAAATCAGATGTGATAACCGGGTTTGTAGTTAAAAAGTTTAAGGTTGTTTTTAAAATTGTTTGAAAGTTAGGGGTGTATTTTAAAAAATTGCCTAAAATATCTATTCTTCTAAACTGCCTCTTGATTATATATATATATATATATATATATATATATATATATATATATATATATAGGGT